CTTTATATCTACCTGACAAAATAACAAGATTATAAAGTGACCAAGTTAGTTAGCAGACATTTGCTAACAGGGGGCGTCTAGTTTGAGCAGTCCTTTATTCTTGTGTTTATTCCACAAAAGCTGATATGTTTTTTTTTTTTTTTAATATTCTGTTGTTTAGGTTTCTACTGGCTGTAACTGAAATTATTCAGTCTTGTACATATTAGTCTTTGCGTATTGTGTTTATTGTTGATATTTAATGTTATACTTGTACATAGGAGAGCACAGTTCACCGAAGTTAAATTCCTTGTGTGTGTAAGCATACCTGGCCAATAAAGCTGATTCTGATTCTGATTAAGAAAATGCCCCCTTTAAAAAGACAAGGAGCCTAGACACAAGTTGTTGTTATTTTTTTTGTAGTTGTTGTTTTTAGTAGTTACTTGGACTTTCAGGTAAATGCTGAAGTCACCAAATTGAACCATTTAACAATTTAACCATGCTGAATGCATGTTAAAATGTTCTTTTTGGATCTGAACTAAAAGTAAAGTGGAGGCAGATCATTTCATTAGTGTGTTGTGTATTTGCCTTTAATCCACAGTAGTTCGACAAATTAAAACAGGAGATTGGTAACAGTTCCACAATGAGCAAAAAAAAAAATCCAACCTCATTATGAGGTCAGATGAGATGAGTCAGAGATCACAATTAAAATATGCAATGAAAAGGCAATCTACCCAACATTAGTTGAACTATGTCCTTTGAAACGAAAAACATTAATCCTGTTGTAAAGCTGCAAATGAAACTGTTATGTATTAATAAATTAAGCAATTATTCAGCCCCTCTCGCCACCAATGCCACTTCATGAATGAGTTAAACAAAACACACACACACACACACACACACACACACACACACACACACACACACACACACACACACACACACACACACACACACACACACACACACACACACACACACACACACACACACACACACACACACACACACACACACACAGGTTAGATTATTATCAGCCCTCAGAGCTTGAGTTTCAAACAATCAGTGACTTTCTCTTCAGATCATGTCATCAAGACAAAACAATAACAAACAAAAGAGAAATCAGAGTGATGTATCATGTTTGAGGCCAATAAATATTTTGTGAGTACGTCTGCTACAAACTTTCCACAGCACTGGCTGATATTTAACTCCGCTGTCATTGACATCTGACCCACAACGTCATCTATCACATAATGCACTGGGTAGTCACTTGCCTCATTGCCATGTCAATCTCTCTCTGTTGTAAGTTTTGACAACAGAGAGAGATTTGCTGTGACATTTGTTGTGACATTTGTCCTCTGATCTAGTCTTTATACTGTAGCTATGTCTCTCTGAACTTCTATGGTAATGTTTGATGTTTGAAATATCTAATAAGTATTCTTGCATTATTGATGAGTGGGGATTTTTTTTGCATCAGATCACTTAGAAGTTTTACTAATTTTGAAATTTGTTTGCATGCCCTGAAAGCTACATTGAATCCCGCTGATACCCCAAAGTATACAGAATACAGATTTTCACTTAAAGTGCTGGTGGTAGCATTAGTGGGCTAATAGCACTAGCATGTGTGGGACCACTGACTTTGTGACTTCTTTCAAAGCGTGTGTGAGATTTTATTTCCTTTGACTGTATCTGTCCTCTGTCTTCATCACCAGTTTTTTAATCCTCGAAAAAAAACAAACAGATTAAGATTAGACCCACAGGAGACAGGCCTGTTTCCACTCATTTATTAAATATTTCTGCACCAAGCCAAATTATGCAGCCTTTAATTATGAGCTCAAGAAAACAAAAACAACACTAACACACAAACAAGCTTCAATATTTCCTAAACACACCCACACAGATGCAGAAAATGTATTCTCCCTTTACTTTTTTTTCCACTTACACACACATTATCTCACACATAAAACACGCACACACACTGTGCAGCTGCCCACTGTCGTCTGGGAAGGGACCGGCAGGTTTCCAGCCCGCGAGAATTTGTGTTTCCGAATGATTAGAGGCGAGGCGGACGGGACGATCTCAGAGGCAGCAGCTGCCCGCCCCACGGCTCCAAGTGGAGCAGAAAATCAGGATAATTTCATTGTGATAATCAGCCTCCCGTTATCCCCGTCACTTCAACTCATGGAGGAGGAGGAAAGAGTGGATAAGAGAGAGAGGGTGTGTGTGGCTGACAGAGGAGAAGGGAGGAAGAGAGTAGAGAGAAAACGGGGGAAAAAATTACAAAAGAGGAGATGTGTTAGCTGCAGAATATATGCATGTGCTGCATGGAGTCTGCATGTCTTTAGTTTGTGTCTTTCATGTTTATGCTTCTATATCTGTGAAAACCTACACGTAGTCCCATAGCACAGCTGTTTCAACCAAATCATAGACACTGTAGGTTGCTATTGATCACCAGCGTTTCATGTCTTGGGTGGGCCTCAATCAAAAGCTGTAATTTCAGAAAACTGTACATGAACTCTTTTCTTATAAACAGTGTCCCATTAAGATCATCCACGGACCTTGTTGTCAACAGTTTTGCTAGGACTGGAGGCAAGTACCAACGAATGGCTAAGCAAACAGCACTATGCAGGCCTCCTGAGTAACCTCGCAATTGCTTCATGTCAGATCAAAAGAGCTGGTTCAAGTTTCTTACAAAGAAAGAAATGAACAATGCCAAATAACAACATATCTGACAAAAACGTTTGATACCTTAAGATCATTGCTAATGTCCACTGTGTAGCTAATATGTCTGTTAACTTTCTGTGACTGATGCTCACAGTACTGTTGGATAGTCTTGCGCCATGTGCAAAGGAGAGTAGATTTCTAGCTAAGAGTTATGTTACCGAGCTACATTAGCTTTTGTCTAATGGTTCGCTAAGGTAATAAAATATAGCCCCATGTCACTTTATATTTTCACTTTCAATATCTTTTCAGCTGCTGATCAACCAGGAAGTGATACAATTATAACTATTATTCAGATTTCTAACCTTGATATACCTTGAAGAAAATGGCAGCTGTGTAAATATGGTGAACGACAATGAGCTCAACTGGAGCAAATATATTGGAACTCCTTTTTAAATGAGTTGAGGCTTTGAAAATAATATTTGACCTCTGCATGGTTTTGAAATTACATGGAGTTTTAGCGTTTGTACAAGTGTTGTCGTCCACATACTTTTGGCTACATGCAATATTGGTGATAGGGAGCAAAAACATCAACACCAAGCATGATTCATGTTTACATTGGACAAAAACCTTGAGAAACAACAGGTTATATTGTTTCTATGCTCCTGATATTGAACCTCTTAGCACGTACAGTACGTGTGTTTTCTTGTGACCTTGTTAAAAACAATTCTGAGCGCCATTATCTTTAAATTCATACAGGGTGCCAAGCTTGAAGACACGAAACTGTTCAAACCTTCCACCAACAGCTTGTTTCTCACCTCAACAAAATTTTCCACACATTATAAGAAGTCAGTTGGCAGCACACGACGCACAGCTCTCATCTAAAGTGTTGTTGTTCTCAGCTGTGATTTATAAGACAGCGCTGCCATGGCCATCAGTGTGTGTTTGTTTGGTGGGATGTTAATGAGTTTATGTTCCTCTCAGCCCTCATGTTCTTGCTCTTATTCTGTCTATCTGTCTTATTTTTGTGTGAGTCAGACCTCCTGTAGTGTTTGTCTTGTCTTTTGTACACATTACTTGTTGACTCTTTGATTTTCTCTGTGTCTTCTCTTTCCTTTAGTTGTTGCCTTTATGACAAGAACTCTTAAAGTATTCCATGTAGCGTTTAGCTTGTAAAAAACATGATTAAAGTTTGACCCAGTTAATGATATTGTTGCTCAACCTGCTGCACTGACAGCAGCAGCTCACAAATAAGCTCACACCGGTCATTGATGATGTCCCCACAAGTCTTTGCAAACTGCTGGTCACTGCTCTCACATGTACTCTTCATTAAGGAGCAACACGTGATCACAAACATCCTTGGAAAGTCAATGCTGGCATGGCTGACTGATGCTGGAAACATGGCATGGCGCATTGTAGAGTGCGTACTGTTTCAGTGTCCTTGAATCCTTTCGGACGGAGAAACTCTTTGTAATTGCAGCTTGTAATTGTTAGGAAGTGACACGGTGCACTACACAGAAACATACACAGAAGTGGTATTTGTGTTTGCTTGAGTGGGGTTCCTCTGTACGGGCACGTTCAAGGTCAATTTCTTTTTTGAAGTGTTTGAAGTGATTGAGTTCTACATGTGACTCAAACCTCTCTTTAAATCATCTAAGTGTGCCCAATCTTTTCAACAAGAGCAATTTTATGGTTGAATGATAGAATTTCTTCAAATCCTGCCTGAAAATGTACGTCATTGTACAGCGGAACCTAATTTTCTCATGTTTTGTTCCAGTAATCTGTTTCCATTAAGCTGCCATAATGGAATGATATGGGTTTTCTATGATTGTATCATGGAGATAACGCCTTAAAACATGTCCGCAGGGTGTCTTAAAAATAATAGAAGAAAAGGCCTTTCTGTCAAAACGGATGATCTCCTCTTAAAATGACCTCCGGGGCTGCTGCTTCCATTAGCGCCCTCCAGCGGACAAGCTGCGACAATGACGTCTTAATGCACCGCTGGGAATGAGATGGATTTGTTCACACATACGGTTTCTTTAATCCTTAAGCGAAAACAATTAAACGGTGGGAATATTTAATGATAGCCAATATTCTCTAGGACTTGTACAAAAAAACAAACAAAAAAAAAAGGGCATGTACTGTCAACATTTAAAAAATAATTTGTCATAACTTACAGAGTATTTTCATACCAAGATCAGGAATATTATGACAGGCTTTTTTCAAATAGCCGTTATGATATGTAATACTTCAATTCCTACGCATGAACCGTAGAGGTAAGAATTCAACTTGCACCACGCCTCAGCCCCTCCCGGACAACCCTCCCCCTCTCTCCTCCTCCTCCTCCTCTTCCTGCTCTTCCTCTTCCACCGCGGCACCGCTCCGCTGACCAGCGCTCCCCGTGACGCCTTGACCGGAGCAAATGCATTGAAAACCGGCCACATGCGCCGTCAAAACGTGTCCCGGTCCATTTTGAAACTACAAAGGGGCTTGTTTTCCGCATTTTTATAGCGTTCCCACTGATGCGAATCTCGATGCAGTGTCCTCTCCAGAGTAACAGCCCACAGTAGCAGGAGGCTGCATGCGCGCTCAGTCGGAGCTCGAGGACAACAACACCATGAAGTTAACGATTTTCCTCTTCCTCGTCTGCTCCGTGTCCTGGTCGCTTGCCCTCGCCGCCATTCCCCGGTAAGAACACTGACTTATTTATGATATAAATATATTTTAGTGTATGCCACAGTATCGTCTTGTTTGGAAAAAAAAAAAAAAAGAAAAGTCAACGCGAGCATCAGAGACAGACCATGTGGTGCAACACTCATGTCGGATACAGATTTAAATCTGCTCCTCAGCACCATCTCCGAGGTGCTCGCCACCCCTAACTACAACCTACACATTCATTACTTACGCCAAAACAGCAATGTTATATAGAAATAACCGACACACACACATGAACACTAATGAGTGTCAGATGTCTTTTAAGCTCTGCGCCTCTTACTGAGTCACTGAAACACAGACAGAAGAGATCCAGTGGGATTGAAATGTCTTGAAGCTAATTGCAGTGGGCGCTGTAATGTTGGCGTGTACTTGTACATGTATTCATCCATGATGATGTCAGACAGATGCACAACCAGAGAAGAAACCATCTGCAGGTTAAAGGTCCAAACACTTCCTCACCACAAACATAGAGTCTAGCGCTTGAAAGCCTCCCGTGTCTGACATGATACCTGTCCCTCATTGTCAATAATACTGTCTGTACCTCCAGAGACAACAGATTGCCTCAGGCTGTGCTGTGTTCTCAGCTACTGGACACTGTGATAGGATCTCTGTCATCTCTGCATCAAGTGCACAGCTGTATTTCTCTCCTAATCGTGTCCCGTAGTCATACGCATCTACAAAACATTCAGCTTTCAGCTGCTGGACTTAAGTTATGACTACTGTTGTCAGGAGGAGGGCTTCTTATTAACACACATTATCATGGATTTCTTTAGGAAAAAGCTTCAATTAAAGGCATTTGTTTTGTTTTTTTGTTATTCTGTTGAGTTACAACCCAGTTAAGCACCGTATATTGTATAGTCAGTTGGATAAGTCTAAAGAAGATGAACCTCTTACTCTGTAAAACTAGAAATGAAGGATACCTCAGTCAGTGGTCTGTAGAATAATCAGAATACAAAAACCCCCTAACACTAACCCTAACCCCTTTTTTAGGGGTATTGCCCATGGTGTAAAAACATTTCAAACGTTTTAATAATCACCAGATCAGCTTACAAAAAAGATGAAATTGAAAGCAAATTTAATATGAATATTTGGGGTAGCTGTCTTAGACTGTACTATGATGTTTTTATGATGTTTTTAAGAACATTTATTGGAGAAGGTGATCAACATTAGTTATATGAATGTTATAATTGTAAGCCTCAGATTGTCACTGCTAAGTGGCTGTAGTAGATATTTTTTGGTCTGTTTGTTCTGTATTTATTCACAGTTTGCAAACATCCTTGTGATGAACTGATGTTAGACCACTTACCTCCTTTTTGTTTCAGCTCCAAATGAGTTTGTGTCCTTGGCGGAGATGGAGGATGCACTCTTGAAGAACCTTTTCCAAGGTTACCAGCGCTGGGTCAGACCCATCCAACACAACAACGACACCATCAGAGTACGCTTCGGGCTCAAGATCTCCCAGCTGGTTGACGTGGTGAGAACATACCTACAAACACAAACACACATCACTGAACATCCCTCTTTATTTGATTGATTTCCAAACTGTTTTTGATAGCACCCACACAACTGAGCATTTAGTTTTGCCTTTACCTTGACTAAACTCTCACAGTGACTAAAAAATGTCCTACCCCACTAGTTGATCCATCACCACAAGCAATTGTCAAATAGTTTACCTATAGTTTCCCATGAACCGCTCAAACTTCACAAAATAAGTCATACCCTCAGTGGTTTAGGGAACAGAACGGTTCAGTCAAATAGATCATTGATCTCAAGTATACAAGTACAAAAAGCTTCATGTGAATCATGTCATATTGTTTTCTTAAAAATACATTTAGCTGAGTACAAGCAGCTTCAGGTTGTTGAATGTAAATGTCACATGGTCAGCATGTATTCTTCTTTTAGTTTCAGACTAAGTAAGAAGCAAAGTAGTTAGATGAATCCTTTAACCTTTATCTTTATTTATTCAAATAAACACAATGTACACAATCTGTTACCATTATTTAAATATTAATGGATATAAGGTATAACAGTGGGCTTAAGATCATAAGAAGCAGACCAAAGAAAAAATCAATGTATTAATAGAGCAACTGAATCATGCTTAGTTTTGCTTCTTTTATGGGGAAAAAATATAGTATTGGACTTGCATTTTCCTATAAATGGAGAATCAACTAATAGGTGGACTCTATCCATTTAAAGGGAACAGACTTATTTGGAGGGAATTTATCCTTTTCAGAATTATTATCCAACATTAGTTGTGGTTGAATCTTTGTATGTGTTAGTGCTCAACAGAGTTGCTGTCCTTGGTGCTGAAACCCAATAAGCTGTTTGTAGCGTTACAGTGTGGAGCTTTCCATGGTCCTGAAATAGATCAGAAACACTCCTACCATGCAGTCTCTCTGTCTCTGAAGTGTTCCTTTAATATTTCAGGGATTGCCTGTGATAGGTTTGGATGCTTTAGGTGTTCCAAAGGAGAAAAAGCAGGAAGCTAATGGAAGAGCCGCTCTTCTCAGCTTGAAATATTCATCTAGTTTGGTTTTAACTCTTCATCCTTCCACCTATAAGGCATGCACGGCTGATAACACAAAATATGAGAACTCTCAAGGCTCTGCAGGGAGGAAAGATTTAGGTTGATGCTCTCTCTTATTTTGGAAAAGAGGGCGGGAAAGAGAGATAACAGCAGCTTAGCTTCACTATGCATGTCCCCTGAGTCTGACGCTGTTGCAGGGCTCTGTATTAGATTATGGTTCACCTCTGCTTAACGTGATCACCGAAACATCCAACTCAGTGTGACAGCTAGGGCCTGGTCTTGAAGAGCTACATCTTTGTGTTTCTCTCAAGTCCCATTTCCCTTATTTTTCAAACTCTACTCCAGTGATGTGGAAATAAACCTGTGTTCACCACTATTCATCTCTGTATGCCTGTCCTCTTCTATTTATCTCTTGCTGCATTTATATTGCTCAAGCACGGTTCACTGCACCCACTCTGGTTTCATGTTTCCGATGCTTGTTTATGGCACTGACAGGTAAATGAGATTCCGTCTGAATTCATGGAAAAAGGAAAAGGATGATTTAGTTTTACTGTCAGCCAACCTTCTCATGTAGTCGTCTAATCGGATCTGACATCATAATGCAGGCACCACGATCAGAGATCAGACGTAAACATGTTACATCACTTTCAACCTCAAAAACCTCATTTACCTCATTTCTTCACTTGTTTTTTAAAGTATACGTCGTGTGTCTGTTGTTTTATCTCTTTTAGGATGAGAAGAACCAGCTGATGACAACTAATGTTTGGCTTTGTCAGGTGAGAAGAAAGAAGCAACCTGAGGATACTGTGCATGGTCAGATCGTACCATTTTGTGCCCACGGGCAAATAAAAAAGACACAAATTCATATTTGTATTCTGCAAACAGTGAATATTTGTTTCACATAAATAATATTATTAATTTTACATTCTGTAATTTTAGATCAGTAGCAGTTCCTGACAAGCACTTGTTTCTGTTTGTCTGATAACATGGTGATCAATCTTTGAAAAGTATTTTTAAACTGCTCTATAAACAGACAATAAAACAGCTAGTTGGTAGTGAGTTGTATAGTCAATAGCGCAATAGCCAGTTGTGTGCTATTTCCTCCAAAATATAACTCCCAAAAAGGGGGCCAGAAAGAAAAGGGGGTTTTATTTGAGTATTTATTTTATAATATTATTACAAGGGCAGATAACTTGTGAAACGTTGAACGTCTTTCCATCCACAATACCGAGAATTCAGTATTATTTTGTCTTGTGAGTCGTAAATGATATTCATACTGTGTCCTGTGTTGTTGAACAGGAGTGGATTGATTACAAGCTGCGATGGAATCCAGAGAAATACGGAGGGATCACTTCTATCAGAGTTCCCTCTGAAAATATCTGGCTCCCAGACATCGTCCTCTATGAGAAGTAAGACTGCTCAAATGAGCAAGAAACTGCTGTTGTTTAACAAATATCAATACACTAAACATAGCCTTTATCTCTCAGTCTAAAATAAAGGTTATGTAATACGGATATGCTCTTATTTAGTCCAATCAGTTGTAGTTGGCAAATTATCTTTAGCTTTTTTAGATATAAAAAAAGAATTAGAATAACAATAAGAATGTTAAAAATGCATTGTGTATATCCCCTTCTCGAGTACTTCGATGTTTTTAATATTTGAATATAAGTAAAACAAGGAGGATGCATTAACATCACATCATAACAACCACCTGTTGGATATTGTAAAAATGGAAACTTTATTTGGATTTTTCTGCATGTTTTTTCAGCGCTGATGGACGGTTTGAGGGCTCTCTAATGACCAAAGCCATTGTCAGGTACAACGGCGCCATCACCTGGACACCACCTGCTAGTTACAAATCTGCCTGTACTATGGACGTCACCTTCTTTCCCTTTGACCGCCAGAACTGCACCATGAAGTTTGGCTCCTGGACGTACGATGGTAACATGGTGGACCTGATTCTGATCGACAAACAGGTAGACAGGAAGGACTTCTTCGACAACGGGGAGTGGGAGATCCTCAATGCCACCGGTGCCAGAGGGAACAGGAAGGACGACATGTACTCCTACCCCTTTATCACATATTCTTTCATTCTGAAGAGGCTGCCTCTGTTCTACACACTCTTCCTCATCATCCCATGTTTGGGGTTGTCCTTCCTGACCGTCCTGGTGTTTTACCTTCCCTCAGACGAAGGAGAGAAGCTGTCACTCTCTACCTCTGTCCTCGTGTCGCTCACTGTCTTCCTGCTGGTCATAGAAGAAATCATCCCCTCGTCCTCCAAGGTGATCCCCCTTATTGGAGAGTACCTCCTCTTCATTATGATCTTTGTCACACTCTCCATCATCGTCACAGTCTTCGTCATCAACGTGCACCACCGCTCCTCGGCCACCTATCACCCCATGTCCCCGTGGGTGCGCAGTCTCTTCCTTCAGAAACTGCCGAGGTTGCTGTGCATGCGCGGACACACCGATCGCTACCACTACCCAGAGCTGGCCCCTGAGAGCCCTGAGCTGAAGTCCCGCTCTGGAGGTAAAAGAGGAGGCCAAAGGGGGAACAGCGGCGCACACACACAGACGACCACCGACGGGAAGGAGGAGGAGGCCTGGGCGACCATGCTGGACAAGGCTATCTCCTCAGTGCGTTACATCAGCAAGCATATCCGCAAGGAACATTTCATCCGTGAGGTGGGTTTAGGAAAGGGATTTAACTAATTATTGAAAGTCTTGAAATGCTTCATTTTTAAACATGTTGTTTTCTCCTATTTTCCCAGGTGGTACAGGACTGGAAGTTTGTGGCCCAGGTGTTAGACAGGATCTTTCTCTGGGCTTTTCTCACTGTGTCAATACTGGGCACTGTCCTCATCTTCACTCCAGCTCTGCAGAACTTTTTGAAAATCCCTCCTCCGACTGCAAGTGAGGAGCCCCCTTCAACCTAGTAGCAATAATATATCCCTTTGACAAACAACTAATGATCCTCCTTCAAGAACCTCCTGAACATTTGTCAATGAAGACTTTCTAATACCTTTTTCTCCTTCCCTTTACCGATTCCAATACCTCGATTTGAGTATTGGCCGATAACAGTGCAATAAAAAAACATGTTATAGAGGAAAAACACTGATTGGTGATGTTTGCAAGCTGGGGTTGATAAATATAAGCATCAGGTCAAAATATTTACTGCTGTACTCACTAATACCAGATACCTGTATTTGTTACCTCTGAGCAAGAGGAAGTCACTGCAGGTGATCTTTATAGAACAATGTCTCCTTCAGTTGAAGTTGCTTCATTTATTCTCTAGACCCAATGTTTGATATGTTCTGTACATCATAAACTTAATGAGTATATAACTTCCACGAACATTTGAGCATACTTCAAATGATTACAGCCACATTTCATTCTGTTTATAAAATGAGAAAGACAATCTTAGTGAACTTGGTGCAGCTCGTGTTGCATTTCAGACTGTTATAACATTTCATATTGTATACACAATGGCTTGAAGTAGCATGCTGCTATCAGTGCACTGGATCACACCTGCTGGCCAGTAAAGAAGACATGTCAGCGTAAATTAAATGAAATAAGAAAAATGGCTTTAAAGATTTTAAGAAAAACAACTACAGATTTTATTATAGGATTTATTTATGCACTTAGGTGACTTCTCCATGACAGTTAGATGTTTCTCATTTCTTTTTATCCGCTGTACTTTCTGTGATCAACTTTCTTCAACCAGGCTGCAGCTCTTTTCCTTACAGTCTGTCATTGTAATAAAGGGGGTCTGGGTTTGTTCTTGTTTCCACATATATGAAGCACAAATGACCTCTAACAGTTACATCTTTGTATTGTTTAATTATACTAATTATTTCAAATGTAAAAGTACAAACAGCTTGTAAGTGGCTGTGTGCATTCTCAAGAAATTCAACAACAATCTACAGGTTTGTAAACTATTTGAGTTTAGCTTACATAAGAACATCCACCATACTGTACCCTTGTTGTCTGTGAACACTTAACTGTTGTCTTGTTCATTTCTGTCTTTGTCTTTCTTAGCCTCCTCATATTTTGCAATATTTATGGTCACTGCAGTTAGTTAACCTATTCCAAGCAGTATTTAAAGGGTAATGCATCTCAACTTCTTTACGTTTCAGACACTTCCAGCTTAGTGTTCATATTGTTTATATTTTATCACACTAATAAAAGTGTTTTAAATACATTATGCTTTTATTGTTGTCATTTAAGGTGCATCTATATCTGTGCCATTCAATGAAAACAAAGTCTATAATGAAGTGTCAAACTAGTAAAAGCTCAAGGAGAAAAGTAACAGCTAGATTAAAAAAGTGAAGTGACAGCGCCACCCAGTGGTAATTCCATAAGATATTGAAAACTTCCTCTTATAGGAATAACATGGTTTTTCCCCCTAATTTCCACCAAATGAACAGTTTCTCCACTTTTGTACTTTAACATAATCCAAAACACACAAACATTTTTAAATTCAAATGATGAAAACACAAATTATGTTGCTTTGATTTCAATCTTTATTGAATAATTGGTGTTACTACAGGCATTGCTCTTTATCCATAAACTGAACATGTGTTTAAAATGGATGTATATGAATCATGTGAATCATTGTTAGTTCATCAAATTCCTGATTTGTATACACGTCTCAATCTTAACAGTAGTTATTTCAAGGTGAATATCGTTTTGTTACAGATCAAGTGAAATTTAACTGACACCTCCCTTCATAAAAGTAGGTAATTGTTGATGTTTGCAATATGTGCAGGATATATATTCCTGATAAAACAATGCCTATGTCTGAGTTCTAATATAGACATTGTTTGTATTCTGTCTAGATTGAGATCTCTTAATGTCTCTGCTTTCTCTCATAGGTTTCTATCTATGTCCCCCCCGTATGGCTATCCAGGTGAGCTTGAGCATTGCGCAGCATCTCCATATACAGTCTGTTGTTTTCCCTGAAAAATAACCACAACAAAGAGTTAATCAATAAAAAAATGCTTCGTAATGAAGGTTTTGAAAGCAAGTTGTATCACCAGGTAAAGAAAGACTTCTCTGTTTAGGCACAAAAGCAGTTTCAGCAGTAGGGGACCTTACAACAACAAAAAAAAAAATCTAAATTGATTGAGCTTAAATTTTTAATCTAAATATTTTAGTAATATATATATATATATATATATATATATATATATATTTTCGATATACACTAAAGGTGTACTGTTTTTTTTAAATGAAAAAATGTCCACCAGTTGGCAGATGCTTTGCTGCAGAAGTTCTCACTCACGTAGCCACAGAGCGGTCAAACATCAGGTGACTCATGTCCATGTAGTACTGAGCATCTGTTCGTATGGCTGTCCAGTACTCGTTTGCCTAATGAAGAGAGATATTTGGTAAAAAAAATGCCTCCTGATCAAATGTCACTGACTGTACATAACGCTCAAACAGTGCAGTGTTACCTGCTCCTGAATGGTGTAGCCCCACTGATTCTGGGAGTGGTGTGGATCCCAGTATCCTGACTGTCTCTTCAGCCTGATGAAACGCTTTGCATCCTCTTCCTTCACAAACGGGGCGGCTAAAACCCCTGAACAGACTCAATTGTTATGGGATGTTTGTAGATGATGTAAATGCAGGGTAAATGTATATTTATTTTAGGTAACCAAACTGAATTACTCTGTTTTGGTGTGTTTAACAGAAACAGTGTTACTTGATCTAAAGTAATCAACATAATAAAGCATCCATTAGCCAGTACTGACTCAGAGAAATGTCTGACTTACCACTCAGAAGAGCCAAAAGGATCACAAACCGCATGCCTATAAAAGGTCAAATGAATGTTGTGACTTTAAGTTGTAATAGTAAGCACATTCATGAATGATACAGCAACAAAACACGTGTATTTATATAGAAAGGTTAAGCAATTGATGCTCTAGCTATTTGCATTGATTTTAGCTCAGTTAATGAGTAATGTTTATAAAGAGTATCAGAAAGGAGACTCACCTGCAGTGTGAGCAGTGAACTGTTGACCAGCTGAATGTCTTCACAGCTTGGAATCTCTCATCCAAATGTTGGAGTTAACAAGAGCGTTTTTCACTGATTTTGACCGTGAACCAGGAGAGGAATGAAAGGAGCCAAGCATCAGGCCAGCTTCTCAAGAAGCTTCTGTTTCCAGCCAGAGCTCTCAGACCGTCAAAACACACACACTCACACCACAAGCTCTCAGACTCAGCACAAAGACAACCTTGTCTTGTTGTATACTGACTCAATGTAAAAAAAAAAAAAAAGATGAACAAATGCAAGCATAATTTTTCCAGTGAATATTTTTTTGGCAGGTTTTAGTCAAAGTCATGCAGAAATAACTTTTATAATAAAATAAATATATATGGCATATATATATATGGCAAGAGATGTTTAAAACAAATACGCCTTTATCCTCTTTCAGTTTCCTATTGGCCTTTTCTTTTTAAGTTTCTGTTGTAATGTGTTTGTTTGTATCATTTTTTTAATGTATACACAACATGCTTATTTAAAAATTAGATTTTTTTGTCTATGCCCTTTTCTTTATCTTTATCTATCTAGAAAACCTTTCCCTGCAAAAATTATATTGTTGTGGTAATTATGACCTCTAACTCATTGACACCATATTGCTAACCTCTTAATAGTTAAACTGTTTAAACACAGAAACATGTTGCAGTCAAACAGACATGATCTTGATTATAATTTTTTATGTGTTTGGAGGTCATCAAGGAATTAGAAGATGTGATAGAATTTGCAATCATTTCATGTACTTCCACATTTCTTCCACTGGGTGGGGTCCAACCATAGGTTTATCTGGTCCAAGGTGAATAGTAGTCAATAGTTCTACATCAGATGTGTGAGACATAAAGGACTATAAAAAATATGTTTTTGTTTTTACAGAAAGCTGTGAGAATCCATGATTGACTGAATGCAGAAGAAAGCAGGCTATTTGAAAAACAAAGATGCATGATTATGTAAGTACAGTATGGTGCGTTAAACATGGATATTTAATCAGGTGTAAAAGTGTGAAAACATTTATTAATCCAAAGTGTGACTAGAGTAAAAAATGTTTTTAAATTTGAGCGAACATCTATTAACTGGTGTTATGGGTAGCAGAGGAAGAGCTTTCTCAGGACAAGAAGTACTCCACCATGTGGGCAGATATTCTCAAATGTGTTTAGTACTGGAGTACAGAAAATCCTATGTCAATAGTTGTTTTTGGACAGTTTTCACACATAATTCTGCAACATCCGAAATACATATAATACAAGCCCACATGAAAATACAGATTCAAAATTACACACACAAACCTTGGGTAGCTCTGGGACCTTTGTGCTCACTCCCACAGCAAAAAGCTATGCACACATCAAAGGTACAGACAAACTAAAACTAATCCGACCCCATTCTATCACACGCACGCACGCACGCACCCGCAAACACACACACACACACACACACACACATATGCACCCTGCTGGGACATGTCAACATTTGAAATATCTGATTCAGAAACAGGGATTTGGGGTGAGGAAGATGTTTAACAAAGTACAGGATTGAATATTCTAACTCAACTTTTTTTTGTCATTTTTGAACAAGTGTCAGTCAGAGCAAGAAGAAAGTCAGCATGGCATTGCTGAATTGATCTGTTTTAGCTTTTACTGATGAAGTTGTGTTCACATAGATCAATATATCATAGCACTCACTATTTTGTCTGTCACCCCTCTGCTCTCCGCACCATTTCTCCTGCTCAGCCTTTTCTCCATGGAATTATCACCACGTATCAGTGGATCACTGCATTAAACCACACTTAACAATGTATAAGATTCATTGTGTCCTTATTCAGAGATGGATGATGAACTTCAGGTTCATATTCTAACAAACCCAACAGCTCAAGACTTCCTGACATTACCTTATCGATTGTGCTGCCTCCGAATCATTATTTTATTTTTTTGCTTTGATGTTTCATCCAATAGACTGAGAGTTCAAAGTTTAAAATAGTGAGTTTAAAGCAACCAGTTTTAAATCAGTGTTGGTGAGGTTCTGCATTTTTTTCTGCAGAAGTTCACTGATGTTTGACACCAGGAGATGCAAACACAGAATCAATACATTTACTTACTGTAAGCATATTGATACATCTTAGAGGGATTATAATTAAATACAACAAAAATGAACGAGATCATTTTCAAGATAATGACGACAAAGTTTTATACTTAGTTAAACACTTTTTTTGAGTTTGGAAACTGTTTAGATATTTTGTCTTGTTAAAGGTTTGGTTTTGTCAAATGGGGTGAAACGTTCGCCAACACTTCTAAAGAAAGAGAGATCCAAGAGTTTAGAAATAGATAGATGGATACTTTATTGATCCCAAGGGAAATTCAAAAAATTGCTGGACAGAAATAGCCTGTCTGTGTGGTTAATAAAATATACTGATGTTTTAAGACCAAGAACCAAATTCACATTTAATTTGGTGGATATGTCTTCTTAATTTTACTGTTGAAATAAATAAATAGTATTTATTTTCATTTTCTTATTAAATAGCTTTGAATAATTAATATGTGTGCTGCTGTTGGGTTCAGCTCTTAAATTGTTTCAAGATTTAAGAAAACTGAGTTTTTAGAATAGTGCTGGCTCAATATGGTTCCCTTGGTGAAATAAGGATTAGCATAATGTCGCAGAGTCCTCAATGGCTAAGTTTGCCCAGTGAGAGGAGATACAAGGAAAGGTTGTGAGCAGAGAATTCACTGAGCTTCTGATACGGCATTCTACATCAAATCACATCTCAGAGCATAAATGGAGCTCCACAAGACATGTCGGGGTACTAAAAAAAAGCAAGACCAGGTCTTATAATATAAGACTTCTTCGGTGATACGACCCTGTTTCATTGAGAGGAAGAGAAGAAGAAAATAGGAGCAAGGAATTGAGAACATTTGCAGAGTTGTTGCAGTGTTCCTTCTCATCGCTCCACTGATCCTATTTCCTACTGGAATTATTTATGGACTGGGAGAAATAGGTCATTTGATTATGAGCCATGCTGGCACAAAAAGGTGACAAATATGACAAAAAGGCAGTTGATGAACCTCTTTGTGACATCCAGAAGTAGGAAATTGCAGTGCGGTACACACATCATATTCAAGGATGATAGTCTACAGCTGTGGAAGAAGGAGGGTTGGTTAATGATCTGCACACACTTATGGAGGCAGAGTTCCTGTCCAGGTCGAGTCAAGGACTACGATCAACTGTGAGATGAGTCTATTTGTGTTTTAATCTGAAACAGTCTCAGACGGTATTGGATTGTGGGGTGAAGTTCAACAACTTTCAATTGTGCCTTCTTCCACATAATGAATTAAAGTCATAATTCTACATTGCTCTGTTTTTTTCTTTTGTTTTTTGGAGGCTTCAGGTTTAACAGTCACACACTTTGTCCGTCTGACAGCTATCTGTAAATTCTGTGTAAAGTCCACACCTGCCCCTACGTTGAAACTTAAGATGTGACATTGTTTGGTTGTATAACTGTCACTAAGTGCCCTTAGTCAACAAACAGCAATGAAAATGTATGAAAAATATGACAAAGCATAATAATTAGATGATAACTAAAGTCTACACCCTGCACATACAGCTAGTGTATTATAACAACAGTGATATCAAGCGGTGGAATCATGAACTACAACATAAGGTAATAAAGGTAATTTAACATCATCATATCATTAGCCGGATGAAATTATCTGCGGCTACGCTCTTTGTGAAATTAAGGGGGAGTACAAATCAAAGTCATCATACGTTTTAAGGACACTGCTGACACCAAACAGCCAGTGAAACTCTTTACACTTCCTCATCCCCAAGATATCACACCTTAAAAAAACTTCTAAACCATGACAACCGTTATTTTACATAAGACTTCACAACTACCTATGATGAGGTCAGAATATATGTCATTATCACGATTATAGCCCAAAGGGCAGACATAGGGTTTCGGGACCCCTCTGCCCCTAAAATCAACGTTTCATTACATTTCATGGAGAACAATATTCAAAGACATCAGAGACACAACATAACGCATAAGTCACACATAAAAACAAACAACTTGGCGAAGCGAAAGAAGCATGAAAAAGCTGACGGAAGACAGAGACAGAGGAAAAGTTTTTCGAACTCTGGCAACAACCGTTTTTTGTTGTTGTTGTTTACAGTGTTTTTTCTGGGTTTCGTCTAGTTCAGCCCTTCTTTACCACGTCGATCGATAGGCGTAAGGTTTAAGTTGTAACATCTGCCTACATTGGAACTATCTCAGCTGGTGCAACATTTTAAGTGTTAGCAGTTTGTTAACTTAAACAAACTAAGCTACATTTAAATGTACCCCGAGTTGCTGCAACCCAGTGCAGGTACAGTTCAGTGGACTGTAGATTAAGTGCTACAAAAGAAGCCCATAACAGCGCTGACACTGAACCTAAAGCTGAGTACCTACACCAAATGCGAAAAATAATATTCGCGTCGCGTGATCGCGCGAATGTCATCGTGTTGATCAAATTTATTGAAGCGAATTTTCGCCCGTCTGACCCTGAAGCCACAAGCCGAGGGGGAGGGGCTTGTCACCAAGATACCCATGTTTGTTTGCGAACTCCTTCTCCTATAATCAGCCACAACTGTTATCACTGCCTTTTACCTGCTGACCGAAGTCAGACAAGTTGTAGATTCAAACACCATCTCTGTGTTTACAACATACTTTGGAGCAGCTCACTGTTTTCTTCAGGAACTGCAATTACGGCTGCTCAGACTTGTGCAGCTCCAGAAGTTTCTCCTCCATTCCTGACGTCAGCCTTGTCATCGTCTTCTGTCAATGATGATTGGCTGTGGCGTCAAGGCATCAAGTGAATTTGTTGCTGAAGTTGAATATTCTGAACTCTCGCGAAGCCGCGGTGGAGGCGAATTTCGCATACCTCGTGCGACATTTGGCGTCTATTTCGTTGCGCGACGAGTCCATTGTGCCACACCACGCGATCCACGTCATTCCATTGACTTTCTATGTACTTTTGTAGCGTTTGGTGTGTACACAGCATAAAGAGAAAAGTTTTAGCCTAAAAACTAAACAATGAGCTAAAAGAAAATGAAAAGCTTTCCAGTGCTGAGGATTACTAGCCTAGATTCATTTTTCATCATTCATCATTGGGCTACGTAAAAGCAAATCCTGCCTCATGGCTTCTTTTCTGTGAGCCCTTGTTATTCTAAAGGCGTTGAATAAAAATAGAAAAACTCAATTATTTTTAAACAACTTGAGGTTTGTTAAATAATGAATCAGCCTTCAGTAGAAAACTTAGGCCCTGCACTTATTTTGAATTATTGGAAGCTTTCAAACAGTTTGCTCTTCCTTAAGTCTGTTACACACCTACTGACTTTATAAAGTTACTAGAGATTAATAATCATAAGGCATTAGGCTACTGCTTAGTCATATCATAAGAAATTTAACTGAACATTTTCGGAAAAGTGATTGGAGTACTTTGGAACTCAGACAAAACAATTCAAATCAAACAAAGGTAAGCTATGATACAGCCTGGCAGGCAACTGGATTAAAAACATGAATTGAACAAGGTCTATATAAAAATAAAAATAAACTGAATAGGCCTCATATAAGTCCCATATATTACGGAAACTTTTGTGTAGTTATTGTCATGACTCTGTTTACCTGTGAAGTTGCACGCAGCCATATTTCGTGTGAAGTCCCGCTCGGTAAGCGCGTCCTCGTTCAGCTCTGAGCTCTGCGTGAGGGAATGTGATTAACGTGAACGCGCCAATCTCAACTCCACTCTCATTCTGGTCCGTAAGTCCTCCTTTTCCTCTATCACACACACTGTCTGCCTCTTCGTCTATCTTCAGTCTCATGTTCGAACCACCGACAAGCAGGAGCAGATACCCTGTCTAACCGATACTGAGAGCTCGCTGCCGGGGGCAGGCAGAGTCCACTCAGCGGTTCCAGGATGCGGTACTTCAAGTTTTGGGGACCATGTTCGGTTGGATTTTATATTTGTGCTACCATGCTTTTCAAAGGTAGGTCTTTTTAGGTCTAAACCTAATAAGGTTGTTGGTTGTATTTTCTTTAAAAAAACAGCTTCCTACAGGGAGTGGAGGGATCTTTCAATAGCCTATAAGTTGGCCTAAGTCCATAAAATGCGGATGATAGTGAATGAAAAACGCCAAAATTCGTGCAGAGGTTTTGTCAAAAGAAGTGAGCTATTGGCTTTTTATCTGTTGCTCTGAAAGCAACTTGCTCTGCTGTCTTCTTTGTAAAACCTTTTTTTCCCTTTGACTATCCAGCTTGTTCTTATGCATTTCAAACAAGTGAAATATAAAGGCAAGATTTAAATCTGAATTAAATTGATGGAAATGTATGCTGCTTTTGTTTTGCTCAGTGGACTGAATCATGGTAGTTTGTTTCCTGTTGCCACCAGATAATTTTTTTTTCACTAGAATTCAAAATCACTGGCTCCTGAACCTTCAAAATGACAAATGCAAGTTAATCTAATCGGCATCAGTTATCTTCTAACATGTTCTTCTCTTCAGTTCTGTTAATTTTACGACCAACCAGTTTGTGTACCATGGTAAACAGCTGATTTAATCCTTAAATAGTTATTTTTAAACATGTGTGCACCTCTGCCTGCTTATAGTGGGCATTGTTTTTGCTATTTGTGTGCAATGAGATGCGCATGCAGGAGTATAATTCTCTGGTTTAAGCTCTATCCCATCATCAACATTACCATCAGCTTCTGTAACATCTGGGTTGTGTAGTCTGTGACACAGCAGCTTTGCTGAAGATCTGCTTTCAATCCCTCTTATGTTTTGTGTATTTATTTTTGTGTAAACTGCCTTCAACTGTCCTCATCTCAATCTAGTCAGTTATCTTTTGGGAATCAAGGAGAAGGGGGCTGAAATGACTTGCAGCAGGTTTGCTTCTTAGTCTTTGAGCCCGGGAAGTCCGGAAGAAGCAGCTGCATACGGCATTGTATCCAATTCAAGGCAAAATCTGTATTTCATTGCCAGTCTTTAAAAGTATATTAAGAATTTGCAATTTTAGCTAAATTGTAACTGGGCAAGCTGATCTCCTCTGGAAATTGAGAATGTTGTTATGGTTTTAATAAAAAAAAAAAAAAAAGAAAAAAAGGCTCAACAGCCCCATATTTAAGTGCACCAAAAATACAATTTGTGTGTATTTAATTTCTGACCTTCACTCAGAGGATCAGAGACAATAGTCAGAGTGAAATAGCTTGGCACAGATGCTATAATAATATCTGCTTGATTACATTGCAATGCCTCATCTAGTTCTCTATGGCTCATTTATTTTATTCTATTTCTTTTACTCTTACAGGCATTCCCGATGCCTGCCTCTTGGTTTTTCATGCTCAGCAATACTTACAACCTTCCCAGACGCTACGCTCTTTAATCATGAAATTGATGTATAAATGGACTTTTCATGCCCTAGTTCAGCATTTGAGTTAGCTGCGGTTGGGCTACATTTAAATGACCTTAAGGTTTAAACTGAGAAGCTGAACTTTGATGCCTGAAGTTTCTCATTTTACCGTTCCTGCTCACCTGTGGAGCTTTCTTCAGTTTGAGGTTTTCAAAAGCAACACACATCATAGTGGATTGGTGAACAATGGTAGAAGATGTGTTGGCCAAGCAGTTTGTGTTGCATGATGGAGAAGGTCTTAGCTCCTGGATTAGGATTAAAAATTCCAGTGGTTTAAGGGCTCTGGACTCTCTACCATAGATTATAAAGCTCTCCCATAGGATTCAATACATCTGAAACCCCATTAACACACAACACCATACGCTCAGCTCTCTGCTCACCACTGTCGAGTCAACAAGATGCTGGAAAAGGTGGGTTGATGGATGGGTCCATGTCTGTTCAATAAGCATCTCTAATGCATACACGCGTACACGCACGCGCGCGCACGCACACACACAGTGGTAACGAACATGTGTACATGCACATCATCACCTTTCTTCTTTCAGTAAAATGCACTGAAAACAGAGTTGCAGAAAGAAGTAAAAAAAAAAACCATCTGTTAGAGAAAGTGCAGAGGGTTGAAATGGCTCGTATAAAACTGCTTCAGTATTAAATATGTCCCTCTGGTCTTCTTTACTGTCCCTCATCTGTCTCTATTCAGTCTCCCTCATGTCTCCTTCACACAACCTCTCCTTCCCATCATTTTACATTTTACTTTCTGTCAATAACACGCTGCCCTTCTCTTTTCTTTTGTTCGTCTATTAAAGTGGCTGCAGATTTTAGAGGCCCCGATTTACATTTTGTGTCGCCAGCTAGAATCGGGTTTGAAGCTTCACAGCATGAACAACGCAACTAAAAGCCCACATAACACTCCATTTCCATTTTAAAGGGCCCAGAATTATAAAACGAGATGTTTTGACATCAAACAATAGTCAACATGCAGAAATCAAATCAACTCACCTGACACTACATCATCACAACTTAATGAACGGAAATACAAAGGTTTCAGCTTCACAGTTATTTCCTCGCAACTTATCCTTAGAAGAGTCTCACAATTTGTAGAGCTTACGTCTTATTTTGTATTAGGGATGCTTTGTTGCTTTATTCGGGTACCTTAATGCCAAATGAATGACCACAGCTTTTCTCCACCTTCTCTTAATTTTCCCTCCTCTAACCCATTTCTCTTACATCTCCCTGCCCCTCTTTTACAACCTGTCTCCCTCATTTTTGTGTCTCCTGTCATCGCTGAATCTGTCTTCCTCTCTCCAGCACTACCTAGATGTGTGTTTTGAAGCAGTTTAGGCCTTAAGCCAGCCACCTTGGTTAAGATGTAGGTTTTATATCTGCTGAACATCTGGGTGCTTCACTACTGACCTCCCCTGACTCATCTCGTTCTAAATGATTGATGGTGAAATAATGAGGTACTTAACCAATGAAGAAATGACCCTGATTTTAATCAATGCACACTGGGTTAGTGTAAAGAGGTGAAGCTGTGTGTCAACGATACACACACAGAATGGGTGGATGCATACACTGACACATCCATGCACAGTGACTCTGGAGCTAATACAAGTATCCTGGTTGATTTACTGTCTTTTGAAGGACACTTGTTTCTCTTAAGCACAAATACAAAGCAAACTTCTTTTTTTTTTTTTTTTTTTTTTTACAAAAACATGTATGCACACACACATACTGTAGACAAAATCTTTGATGCAGCCCACCAGGCTTATTATTTTTTCCTCTTGGGGTGTTTTTCTTTCTGACAGTTTAATGGCAAGTTTCAGGGTCTAGACTATGATCTGCAGTGTAGATTGATGGTCCCTGTTGAGGTGGACACCCGTGTACAGGTTTGAGAAAAGACAGTGGCACAATTTATATCTGGCAAAGACTTTTTGACCTGATAATAAGAGGTTGTCCCCTATGGTCCAGAGTGTCTGATTTATAGCTGTTGTTTGTTATACCATTTATATCTGCTGGATTTTTGCTTGATGCATTGCAAATGAAACTAAGATTAAGATTTACTTTATTAAATTTTCAGTTTTTACACTCTGTAAGTCATGAACACACACACAGGCTGAAATATACACATACATGCAGAAACAGGATCCTATGGACATGCAGTAATGGAGAGAAGCCAGAGTGCCGGAGCAGCCCACAGGGCGCTCCTGAGCTGATGGTGGGAAGGGGGTTCGGTGCCTTGCTCAAGGGCACCTCAGCAGTGCTCAGGAAGTGATCTGGCACCTCTCCAGCTACCAGACCAACTTCCATATTTGGTCCGCACCGGGACTTGAACCGGCGACCCTCCAGTTCCCTGTCTCTACAGACTGAGCTACTGCCGCCCAAATCACAGCATTGTTGGCAGATGTTGTACCTTTTTGTTGTATCTACTGATTGAGAAATTAGAAAGTAAAACAATCCTAGTCAGAGATCACTTTTCATGCAAGAACTACTAAATAAGTGTTTGATATGAATCAAAACTGCTTTCACTGAGTTTATAACTGTTGTTGTAGCTTGCCATTAAGTCCCACTGTATAGACAGAACAAGTTATCATGATTGTTTGGCCTGGACATCTCGCTCCTTCCACATCATTATTAGATTTTGTGAAGGCAATTCGATTTGTTTTAATTTTTCCGTTTCCCTTGCACACTCAAACACAAGATATTTGCACCGAAATGGCTGTAGATGTGTCGCATTTGTGGTGGTGTCGACTGTGCAGACCCTTAGGGAGCGGGCATCTGTCAGCCGTTTCTTTGTGCAGTGCTATCCCGCTTCAGGTTCATAACTCTGGACACCCTGTCCCAAAGCATTCAGGTATCAGAGCCCTGTTGTGTTTTAAACTAAATAGGACATTTGGATATTTACATTACTTTTTCAGCAACTAAATGCATGTTTGCTAGCATATGATATCAGGCATATATCATATGAGTAATCAGGGCTTTGTGTCATGGATCTGAATTTCATTTTTGGATTTGTGTTTTTTTCCCCGTAGGGATTAGAATCAAAAGACAGAGCTTGCTGTCTCGTGTAGATTCATGTTAAATTGAACTGAAGTGGATTACTTTATCAAAGTGTTTTACCCATATTCTTATCTTCCTGAAAGTTTTTTTCCCCGCAGCCCTCTCGCTGTTAATTCCTCAGGCTTCATGTTACATCATTGAGGACCTGAGGGATCTCAGCCACATTAAAGGCCCCATGTTAATCCTGACTACAGAGAAGTCTAGCTGGCAAGAAGGTTTGTCACACTATTCAAATAGAGCCAGCTAAATGTAGATCTTAGATTTTATGATTAGAAACTTTTGGGAAGCATCAAACACCATGAATATGATAGGCGAGACAAATATTAATCAAGAAAAAAACAATTTTAAAGGTAATCTGACAAATATAATTATATGTATTCATAGAAGTACTAAAGTGGACGCAAACACAGGACCACTCATACAACTACTTTTGTACTTTACACCATTTTAGCCAGATGTTGCCACACACCTAGTGCTGGGAAATATTACTAACAATGTTATTCCACTAAAAAATGTCATATCCGTT